CCCACAGGATTTGTAGGGGCACCCTCTCCTCCCACCTCCGTGCTCCCCAGGACTGGATACCCTGGCCAATCAGATCCTGGGGTCAGCGAGCCCCACCCCTCCTAAAGCCCTAACCCATTACCTAATTTAGCCAAGGGCCCTTGCAGAGAAATTTAAGCCTCTGAGCAGGTGGCAAGCCTTGTCGTCCTAGATTCTCATGAGGAGTACCCGCCCCGCTCCACCACCTCAGAGAGCACCCCACCCTCAGGAAGCACACTTGCTCCAAGATGGGAAAGGACCATCAAAACAGAAAAGTGAGTCAGCACGGTGGAGTGGGAAGAGCACAGCCTTGTGGTGCGAAATCCAAGATCCAAGTACTGCCCCTATGAGCGGTGTGACCTTGGGCAGGTGGCCATGTCTCTTTGAGCCTCAGTCTCCTCAGCTGTGAGATGGGGATAATTATAACTTCCCTCACAGAGAGACCGTGGTAAATGGGAACCCAGGTATAAGTCACCCAACTTGGGCCAGGTACTTGGGGTTGGAACTTGGCAAGTGGAACTCCCTGTCCTTGAACCATAGTAAGGGGCAGGGGACAGGATGAGGGGAAAGTGATAGCTACAGCCACCATTTATTGAACCTTTATGGCATGCTGCACACTGTGCTCGGCATCAAGTATTCCTTCTATTAGGTAGCAACTATTATTATATCCCGTTTTACTGAAGTGCTTTGTATATTCTAAATGTCTATACATGTTGGTGATCCTTATTATTGATGCTGACTGGAGAGAAGTTGAGGCAGTCCTAGGAGGTCAGCAGGCATCCAGATCAAGTGTGTGGAGGGGTCAGGGAGAGAGCACAGATTTAGAGGAGAAAGAAAATAAGCACTGAAAGCAAAGAGTCTTCTCTGAAGCATACCCTCTCTAGGAAAAGGGTGTTTGGGATTCACTTTTTTTTGAGGGGGTGGGCGGTCAGGGGAAGGTTCTCTGAGTATGTGAAGGGGCAGCTGGCCCCTTCCTAGAGCTCCATGAAGAAGTCTGGAGGAGCTCGGCTGGCCATCTGGAGGGTGAAGGAGCGGGCAAGTCAAGTCTGAAGGGAGCCCCGTGAATACATACCATCTAGGCTGGGCGTTGTCGGGTAGGAAAGGCTCATGGACAGTGGCTAAGTCAACAGAAAGAGCACTGAAGCAACCGAGTGCAGGTCCTGGGGCCAGGGAAGGGGGCCTGGGCAGCAGGAAAAGCAGATGGACAGTGGCAACTGGGCTGCCCCCTTCCCCCTATATATAGACATTCCAAGGAACGTTGTTCGGAGCCAGGCCAGGCTAAATCAGGCCTCTCCCAGCCCGACAGAGGCCCAGGGGCGACACCTAGGGAACTTCAATTTGGACACAAAGGCTGGAACCACGGGTCCCTTTGGAAAAGAGGTCCTGGAACCCTCGGGGATCATTTGTTCATTGATTTCTCCTTTTGTTTACCCCGGGAAATCCCACCTAACAGTCCAATCTCACTTCCCTCGTTCTCCCCACCTCACCCGTCGCTATACTCTGGTAAAACTTAAATACTTAAGTCCTCCACCCTTTATAGCCTCCAGGCCTATGCACATGCTGTTTGTTTGGTTTTGGTTTTTTTGCTTTTTTTTGTCTTCTGCCAGGATCCCTCCTCCCCTAGCCCCAGGCCAGGCGAGTCCAGGGTGATCTCCAGTAGTTTTCTTAATCACAGCACGGAGCTTTGTTCTGCGCTCCACAGACCACAGACGGTTTCCTATTTCACATTTCATCCCCCAGGACCCAGCACTTGGCACTTACCTGTGCCGTGGAGTCGATTCTGACTCACAGCGTCCCTACAGGACAGAGTAGAATTGCCCCATAGGGTTTCCGAGACTGTAATCTTTACGGAAGCCGACTGCCACATCTTTCTCTTGTGGGGTGGCTGGTGGTTTTGAACCATGGACCTTTCGATTAGCAGTCAAGTGCATAACCACTTTGCCACCAGGGTTCCTTACTTGGCACTTAGTGAGTGTTCAGTAAATACTGTGTTCCATGTAAGAATAACTGAACTGAACGCATCTTGTTCAGTATAAGGCAGAACTTCCTAACAGTCACAGGTTGATTTAGGAAATAATACTGCAGTTATTATTCCCTCTTCTTGAGCATAGAGAATGTGACCTAGCTGGAGCTGGGCTCACAAGGACTCACAAGGACACATCAACTGGGCCCTGAGGTATAAAGAAAATAGCTAAGATAATCTTGGAAAATACCTTTTAGGGAAACTTTCACATAAAGCCGATCAAACACAACACAAAAGACTTTTCCGCGCTTGTCTTTTTCTATTAGCATTTAGTGAACAGAAATTTGTTGGACCAATGAAGACCCTCCTGACTCTCTTTACTGAAACTTGTACCAATGGTTGTTAAGAAAGACAATTCAAAATGTAGGATCACAGTTTCTAGCCAATCTGAGAAGGCTAAACTTTCAATGGTTTTGCCCATTTGCAATATTAATATATACTGATGATTCTGTAATGTTCTTTGGACTCGGGCAGACATGGCTGTGGCAGCATGCTTGTCCGTTTTCCCATTCTTGTCTACTCTGTAATATTCTTTGGACTTGGACAGAGATGGCTGTAGCAGCATGCTTATCTGTTTCCCACTCTTGGCTGTTCTGTGATGTTTCCTTGGACTTGGGCGGACATGGCTCTGGCAGCATGGTTGTCTGTTTCCCACGTTTGCCTTTTTGAGTAAATGTCGAAAACAACTTACTTTTTGTTTTAGTAAACTTTATGATGTTTTTACTCTACAACAAGATGAACGATAATGGGAATGGGCAGCCTCAGGAGGTAGTGAGCTCCCTGTCACTGGATGTTTGTAAGCAGGAGTTGGTGACAATCTCTCAGGGAGGCTGTAGGGAGATATCTGAACAGTCTAAGACTAGTGGAGAACACAATGCAGAACATCAGGAGAACTTCTGCTTCTGGCCCTATTTGTATGAACCAGTGTAATATGAAGGCCTTTCCTTCACTGAGCCTCAGACTTCCCGCCTGTAAAATGGAAGCAACAGACCAGATTTCTGACGGACCCTTCTGCTCTGACAGCCATGGTTCTAGGAACACCTGCGTTGTACCCAGGTCCCTGGGTGACACAAACGGTTTGTGCTCAGCTCCTATGGCGGTTCGAACCTACCCAGTGGTGATGCCTCAGAAGAAAGGCCTAGCGCTCTGCTTCCAGAAGATTACAATTAAGAAAGCACAGTTCTACTCTGAAGCACATGGGGTCGCTATCAGTAGGAATAGACTAGACAGCAATGGGTTTGGGTTTTTTCGTTTTTGTTTTTTATTGATACCCAGATTTATGACACATATACCAAAGTTCAGGTTAATATTCAGCCAATATTTGGTGAATGAGTATTGAATGAATGAATGAGATGTGTCTTTCTTGCCAAAACACCCTGCCTGTAAGCAGAAGGAAGAGGAGTTAGACCTTTGCTATTACATAGACTTGTGCTTAAATCCTAGCTCCCCTATTTCCTAGCTGTGGACCTTGGAGAAGTTAATTTGCCTCGATTTCTTCATCTTGAAAATGGACCGTTATTGTCCTGTAATAGCCTTCTCCCCAGGATGCTGTGAGGCTGATGTGTGACCATGTAAAGTGCTTACAACAAGACTTGGGACAGGGTGGAAGCTCCAGAGATGAGAGTTCCACCCAGGGGTGAGTTAACCAGGAAGCATGGTATGCACGGGCTTACCTGCGTTTATTTATTAATCTGTAGTGCACAGTTTCACAACCCCAGGGTACCTTGCTTATAGGGTAATCTGTCCGTGGCTCCACTCCTTCTGTTCGTTTGTTCATCTCTCCACCCCTCTTTCCTGTGCCACTCAAAAAGGGTAGGTGCAAAATAAATTATATATATATGTATATATAAAGGATAGGCACTACTCTCCGGCTTTACTTATTTAACTGTATAACTAGCAACATCCTCCCTGCAAGGGACTGATAGGCCTTCTGACAGGAAGCGTCCTTGAAGTCTTCTTGACCTACTGCTGCCCTCTGGATAAAACATAAAACCCTGCCCCAGAGGACGTGCGGAGATTACCGGCCTGCAGGGTGGGAAAGAACTGGCTGCAGAACCCAGGAGACCTGAGCTCCAATCCCCCATCCCCAGAATCTGGCAAGCTGTGTGACTTTGGTCAAGTAACTCTGCCGGCTGGATCTCAGTTTCCCCCATTTGCCTGCTTCCTAAGTGTGAAGCTCAAATGGGATTGTGAGAGCCTGTGAACCCTGTGGAAGCCATGATCATTATGTAACTGATGATTTTGTCAGCCCCTCTTTGTTGGCAGGTCCTGGACTGGGGTGGGTCCTTCCTTGAGCTGCAGTGAATAGCTGCAAAACTGATATCATTGTTCCTGTTTTAAGTAAGAGGAAACCTAGGAAATCGAGGTCACAGGCCAACCCAGGTCACGTGTCTTCTCCTGGCCTCAGTTTTCTCACTGGAGAAGGTGGCTTCCTAATGTCACATAGGAGCCCTGGTGGCACAGTTGTTACCAGCCCAGCTGCTAAGCGAAAGGTAAGCAGTTTGAATCCACCAGCTGCTCCTTGGAAACCCTATGAAGCAGTTCTACCCTGTCCTGTAGGGTTGCTATGAGTCGGAATCCACCGGACAGCAACGGGTATGGTTTAACTTCGCTTAATGACTTGGGAAAGTTCAAGAGCATCAGGTGGAAACTGGGGGTGGGGAGCAGGCAATATTGGAGTCGGCCTGGATCTTCGAGAGTGGTAAGAGGACTCGAAGGAGGGTGCGCGCACCTACGGATTGGGGACGATCCGCAGCAGGCGTGGAGTTCGCCCTGGCATGACCCCAAGTCTCTCCTGGAGCTGAAGGCCCGGGATTCCCGGGCGGCTCCAGGCAGCGGGCGGGGCCGGAGGCGGGGCAGCGGCAGGAAGAGGCCTGAGCCGCGCTCCGAGCGGCCTGGGCCTGGCGGAGGCCAGCGGAGCCCAGTGGCGCCCGGAGGCCTCGGCCAGCCGCAGGGGTACTGCACCGGGACCCCAGGCGAGGCGCGCTCCGGAGTGCACTGCGGGGCGCAGGAGGTAGAAGCGCGCAAGAGGGGAGAGAAATGTGGGAGGGGCAGGTCCCCTGAGGAAGAGCGCGGCTCTGCACGCGTGGGTCGGGAAGGCAGCGCGGCGGGAGTCTCAGGAGTCGCTGGACCCCCGGGGCGGGGCGGGGCCTCCGCGGCTCCTCCCCCTCCGGCCGGGCCCGCCCCCTCCTCCCGGCTGGCCGGGTCCTGCTCACCGGTCGAGACCGAGCACCGCGCGCTCCCCTCAGGGTGCCATGGCCTCCCGGCTCCTGCACCGGCTGCGGCACGCCCTGGCCGGCGACGGCCCTGGGGAGGTGGCGGCCGGGCCCGAGGCCGAGCAGTTCCCGGAGAGCTCGGAGCTGGAGGATGACGACGCCGAGGGCCTGTCCTCCCGCCTCAGCGGCACCCTCAGCTTCACCAGCGCCGAGGACGACGAGGACGAGGACGACGAGGAGGCCGGCCCCGACCCGCTGGCCCCCCGGGACGGGGCGTCGGAAGAAGACGCAGGTGAGTGTGGGGGGACGGGGCGGGACCCTGGGGCTCGATTAGGTCTCCATCCCAGCCGCGTTCCCGAGAGCATCAGGGGGCGCTCAGAGTTGATCCAGCTGAAACTCCCAACACTTCTTCAAGTGCCCCAGCCACCTCTTGGCTGTGTGACCTTCAGAGAGTCACAACACCTCTCTGAGCCAAGTCTTCCCCTGCATCAGATAGGGAAAATCGCCCCCATCTCGGGGCTGGTGCGGGCGTTAAACGAATAGGGCCTGGGATATAAATGGTAATGATGTGCTAGCGATGCTCTGGGATGGGAATATTTATTTAGCGCCTACCCTGTTCCAGACACTGTGTTTGGCACCCGGTTCCTCACTGGCCCTCAATTTCCATTTCTGTAAAATGGGGATAAAGCTTGCCTTACAGGTTGAGAGAATGAGTTCCTAGCACGTGGTCACATGCGCCTCGCCCTGGTGACGTGAACAGTACCTGTATGCTTCCGTAGAACCGAGCCCCCCGCCCGATGGGCCTCGGGGCAGTCAGCTCCTGACCCGGCAGCTGCAGGATTTCTGGAAGAAGTCCCGGAACACCCTAGTACCCCAGCGGCTGCTTTTCGAGGTGACCAGCGCCAACGTTGTCAAGGACCCACCCTCCAAGTACGTGGTGAGTGAGGGAGGGTCCAGGTCCTGGGCTGTGAGTCCAGAAGAATGGTGTGGCTAAGAGGGAGTTAGGGAAGGCTCTAATCTCTTGCAAGCGGGAGTGGGGGATGCAGTTAGAAATGGCTGTCCCATTTTACAGATGGGGAAACTAGGCCAGGAAGGGGCTGAAACTTGAGCAGATCCTCAAATGACTTAGCTTTTCTGAGGCTGACTAAAGTGGGGATAATGAACTTGCCTTCTAGGCTGGTTCTGGGACTGAGAGAACTGCAGTGTGTTAAAGGGTTTTGCAAATTGTTTCGGGGTACAGGGGGAAGGACATTATCTGGGTTAGACTTGCATTCTGAGTTGCACAGGCTCGTGGTTAAGGAAGTGGGCTTTGGAGCCGGAACAAGCTGAGTCAAATCCCACTTACTTGATCCCAGATCAGTCTCAGGCGTTTGGTCTTGGGAGAGTCGTGTGACCTTGTTGACCCTCAGTGTTCTCATCTGGGCTGTGGGAGTAATGACAACGGTATCTGCCTGAGAGGATTGTGTAGCAGGAATTAAAGGAGACAGTGCACAGAAAGCCCTTAGCGTTGTGCCTGCCTGTCATTCTGAAGTGCTCAATAAAATGGTAGCTATAAGGAGCTCTGGTGGTGCAGAGGTTAAGCACTCAGCAGCTAACTGAAAGGTCGGGGGATCGAACCCACCAGCCACTCCATGGGAGAAAGATGTGGCAGTCTGCTTCCATAAAGATTACAGCCTTGGAAACTCTGTGGGATCGTTCTACTCTGTCCTATAGGGTTGCTATGAGTTGGAACTGCGGCAATGGGTTTTGTTTTTTTATGTTGTTATTGTTTACTTTGGGTTGAAAATGGCTGGCATCTAGGGCCTCCTGTGGCCTCCTTCCAACCCAGGTGAATCAATTCTCAAGCACCCACCCTGTACAGTATAATCTTGTCCTAAGGGCTAGACTTAAGGAGCCAGTAGTGGGTTGGGGTGAAGAGTAACATGGTGGAGAGGACTTGAGTCCCCATTTTCCTCACTGTGGAGAGGAGGGACTGGCATGAAGAATGAGGTCTGCCAGGCTGTGCTCCCTGCCAGGCCTGAAACCCAGCCTGGCCTGGCCAGTCCTGGCGGCGGTGGTGCCCTGCCTCTCGCATCCCTCTTCACCACCCTCTTCTGCCTCTGACTCAGCAGGAAGGAGGCCTGGAGCTCTGTCCCACATCTGGGCCTCTCCACCCCTCTCTGCTGCTGTTAGTGAACAGGGCCACGCCCATGGGGACACTCCTCCAATTTGAGCAGGGGTTGACTGTGATGCTCAGGTCTTGAGTGGCAAAGGTCTCAGAGCTCTGGGGTGGATGAGGGGTCATGCACTGGAAGGGGACACCAAGAATCAGTCACCTAGGAGCAGCACAGAGGCAGGGAGGAATGGGGGTGACTTGGAATGGGAAGGGAATGACAGGATAGAGCAGGATGGCCAAGTATGCCCTGGCCCATGTCTGGGGAAGCAAGTCACCTCCTCTGTCCGGTGGGGACCCCTGATCCCCATCTAACTTCTGGGGGTTAAGAGCACAGGCTTTGTAATCAGACCTACCTGGGTTTGAATCCCAGGTGGCCACTAATCAGCTGTGTGCCTCAAGCAAGTCTTTGAGCCCTTTGCCCCCTCTGAGCCCGTTTCCTCAGCTGCCTACCAGATAAGGACACCTTCCTTGCAGTGCTGTTGTGATGATTAAATAATGCTGTAAATGCTCAGCACGCAGCACAGGGTGAGTGCTCAGTCCATGGAGCTACTGTCATGATTTCCTGTCTCGGTGGGAGGTTACAAGGATCAGATGAGATAATGGATGTAAAAAAATTTTTTGCAAAAAAATTAAGAATAAAAATAAAAACTTCATGAACATAAGGATTATAGGCCAGTGCTTCCTGAAGCGTGTTCTGCAAAATTAAATAGTTCCCTGAAATATTAATAACTGTTCAAGAAAGGGTTTTGCAGTCAATATGTTTCGGGAATGCAGATTTGAATGAGAATAAAATAGGTTTCTTCATTGTGAGATTTTCGAATCCTTTGTATTAACATACTTAATAAAGTAGAGGGTCAGCAAAGAGAGGAAGACCCTCAGTGAGATGGATTGACACAGTGGCTCCAACAATGGGCTCAGACATAGCAACGATTGTGAGGATGGCGCAGGACTGGACAGTGTTTCATTCTGTCGTACGTAGGGTTGCTCTGAGTCGGAGCTTACTCAGTGGCACCTAACAACACCGAGAATCTTCAAGAGGAATAGAGCAGGCAAACCTAAGTGACCAGGAGTGGCTATAACCCTGGGAGTTCTACAGAACAAACTGTAGAGAAAAAGGTGGGTGTTACTTGTATGGAGTCCCTGGGTGGCGCAAACGGTCAAGCACTAGCCTACTAAACCAGAAGGTTGGTGGTTTGAATGCACCCAGAGGTGCCTCGGAAGAAAGACCTGGTGATCTACATCCAAAAGATCACAGCCGTAGAAAACCCTATGGAGCGCAGTTCTACTCTGACACACATGGGGTTGCCAAGAGTTGGAATTAACTCAATGGCAACTTTTTTTTTTTTTTTTTTGGGGGGGGGTGGTTTGGTGTTAGTATGCCTTTAACACCTAACACTTGTTAATCCCTCTTTTAAACCTGTTGGCTCAGCATTACTATGGATTAAGCCATACTCAGGTTCTCAGACCTGAGGGGAAGCTCAGCGGTCATTTGTTCAGTGTTTCCCAAAGCCTCAGTCATTCCAGTACCACCTTCCCAGTTCTTGTCCTGTCTGAATACCACTTGTACCATTATTTGCTTCATATTTTCTTTAAATGAACTTGCTGTTTTTTTTTTCCTTAAATAAGTTTTATTTTAAAAGACAACTTTACTGTGCTGTACGGGTGGAAACCCTCACTTGCCATAAATAGAAGCTAGCCATCAAAATAAAGGCAGTGAAAATGAAGCCGTGTCCGTCTATCCTACCGAGATGCTGCTGTTGCCTGCAGGGGGCCGTGACCTCAGATTAGCTTTCAGGCTCTTTTCTAAAATTGGAGGTGAGACGTGTTGGGGGCGTGCTTAAAAAAAAAAAAAAAGCACCAAGCAGAGAGCTTCTCAATTTATCGTCAGAAAGATTAAGAGCGGATTAAAGGGGAACCACCTTCTATCTGTGACTCACCGTTATTTACTCTGGTACATAAAAACCCGCTACTACACTTGTACACGTCAAGTCAACACTGACCTGGTCCGACACTTCCACATCCTAGATGGGGACTGTCTTGCCTGAGGTCACATGGTGGGACAAGCTGACCTGAGGTTTGGAACAAGTCCAGTGTCCTTGGCCCAGTGTTGGGGCTATCTGAAGACTTGCCCTCTGGGCCTGGTTTGGAATAACCTGGCCCAGGTGGAGGCTCTGTGTCTGGAGAGGAACAAAGCTCCAGGCTGGTCCTAAAGGTTGGCTCAGAGGCCCCGATATCAGCCTGGGTTTCTGAGGAGCTGTTGGAAGAGCCAGCAGCCCTACAGGGAAGGGGTGCTCCCTAGAAGGGGCGAAAAGGGGCAGCAGCCCCAGGTGCTGAAACTCATCTCTGTCTTTCTCTCTCTCTGCTGCCATGGGCCTGGGTCATTTCAGATGAGCCTCAGGTAAGATGGCTGGGGTTCCCCAGCCACTGCCCCAGCAGCTCCCTCCTTCCTAGGCCCAGTCCTAGGGCTGAAGGGGAGAAGTGCGGGGGTGGGGAGGAAAGGGGCCCATGGATGCCTTGCACTTACCCTAACACTCCCTCCGCAGCTCTACACCCTCACCGTGATGGGCCCAGGGCCTCCAGACCGCCAGCCAGCCCAGATCTCCCGCCGCTACTCGGACTTTGAGCAGCTGCACCGAAGCCTGCAGCGGCAGTTTCGGGGCCCCATGGCTGCCATCTCCTTCCCCCGGAAGCGCCTGCGCCGGAACTTTACTGCAGAGACCATTGCCCGCCGCAGCCGGGCTTTCGAGCAGTTTCTGGGCCACCTGCAGGCAGTGCCCGAGCTGCGCCATGCCCCGGACCTGCAAGACTTCTTCCTGCTGCCTGAGCTGCGGCGGGCACAGAGCCTCACTTGCACTGGACTCTATCGTGAGGCTCTGGTGCTCTGGGCCAATGCCTGGCAGCTGCAGACCCAGCTGGGCACCCCCTTGGGCCCAGACCGCCCCCTGCTGACCCTGGCCGGACTGGCTGTGTGCCACCAGGAGCTGGAGGATCCCGGGGAGGCCCGGGCCTGCTGCGAGAGGGCCCTGCAGCTGCTAGGGGACAAGAGACCCCACCCTTTCCTAGCTCCCTTCCTGGAGGCCCATGTCCGGCTCTCCTGGCGCCTGGGCCTGGACAAACGCCAATCAGAGGCCTGGCTCCAGGCCCTGCAGGAGGCAGGCCTTACCCCTAAGCCACCCCCCAGTCTCAAAGAGCTGCTTATCAAGGAGGTGCTGGACTAACCCTTGCCTAGTCCACTGTGGGAAGGGGCTGCCCCAGGATAGGAGGGCCTGATGAGGACATGGGCCACAGCTGGGAGGCTGCAGGGGCGCTGGGAACCCCTAGAAGTTTCACAAAGAGAATGCAGCAGACCAAGGAACTTTGCTTCTTCTGTTCTGCTGGGCTCAGGATGAGCTTTGGCTGGAGTTGCCCTGGGATGGTGCAGGGAGGAAGTCTGATGCAGCCTCTCCAACACATAGGGGTCAATGTTCCCTTTTCCAAGGGCCTCCAAGCCAGTGAGGCCAGGGACTCTGACCTTGAAGTCGAAGGTGGAAGGAGGGTTGTGGTTCCGGCCCAGGGAAATTAAAGGCCAGCCGCTCCAGTGGTACCAGTCTCTTTATTGGATGCGTGCAGCAGAAGGCCCAGCCTTCTTCTGTAACTCTTGCTTCAGGAGTAGGGGTGGAAGGAAGTCCTTGAAGCCCCAGGTCAAGCTGGTACCTCTGGCTAGAGCTTGCTCTCTGACTTCTGGGGCTTCACTCGGATCACACCCTCCTGGACACAGGTCACAGCCAGGACCCCATCCCGACGCCATAGCCGCCCGTGGACCAGTCCCCGGGAGCCACCTGTGGGCGAGGGGAAGGGTGAGAATGGCCTTCTCTCTCCCTAAGCACAGCCAAGCGCACGTATTGAAAAGGATTCGGCTCGAGCAGGGTCACCACATGCAAGGGCTCCCTTCACAAGCCTATTACGGTCAGTCACTGGAGGTGCCCCTCCCATGGGAACCCTACTTGACAGTCTATAAGCACTTTCACATTATCTGCTGGCTTCTTCAGAAGGATCGTGGAGGGGGTCAGAGAACAAACTCTCAGTGGCCTGGCCAAGCGGATTCACCCACTTCTGATCACTTGTGTTAAGAAGAAGTTGCCTTTATAACCTCAAACCAGGTCCCCTAGGCTGGTAATTCATGAAAGCCTTCACCGCCAAGGGGAAGAAGAGGCCCAGGGCAGAGGACCTGGGCCCATGAAGTCGTGGGGATCCTCCCTTGCTGGCCTTGGGCCTGAGTTTGATGTTTATGAAGGTAACTGCTGGCCTCCCTTACACATAGCTTAGTTCAGTCCTCACAATAGCTAAGTGAAGCAGGCATTTGTTGTCCCATTCCAGACAGTGACACCAAAGTCACTGGGACTTGGGAACTGGGCCCTGAGGAGCAGGGCCAAACCTGAACCTAAGTGTCCTGATGGCAAGGCTGTTGATCCGTATTTTGATGCTCTTGATACTTGAGCAGCCCTTTCCTGAGTGTATCCTTAAGTCCTATCCCTGTTTTACAAAGCAAGGCTTTTCTTCATTTGAAGCGTACCTCCTTGGAACAGAACCCAGGGTTCTGAGACTAGACATTAAGGAAGGAGTCTGGGTTTCTCCTCCTCACATACAAGAATTGTCCAAGTAGTGGAGCCCTTAGGGACCGGTGAATCCCTGACCCACGACCAGCTTAATTGGCAGCATTACTCAGAGCTTTTGAAAAATGCAATTTTCTGGACCTTATCCAAGACATGCTAAGTCAGAACCAACCGAGGGAGTGGAATCTGAGAATCTGTTTTGAAAAAGCTCCCCCAAGTGGCAGTCTGATGAGCCACCACTGCTCTAATGCAACCCCCATTTGCTCAGATGGGGAAACTGAGGCTCAGTGAGGTGTTGGGACTTGCCCAAGATCACACAGAGACTCTGGAATGATTTTGGGACTAGAACTGCATCTCTGTGAATCATATTCCCTTGATCTTCCAGCACGTTAGAGAAGGTATACCATCCTCGAGCCTCACTGTCATTCTGAAGGATGCCAAAGCCCAGGACAGGGCAGGAGAGGAAGTGACCCGTGCAGTGCCCCACAGGAAGGGGGACAGCATCGCCTGAGAAACTAGGCTCCCTGCCACCCCAGGGTCGGTGCCGTGGCCCCACACTCACCAGCCCAGGGGCTTTCGCACTCGTACAGCATCCAGTGGTCCGCTTGGAAGGGGGTGTGGAACCACATGGAGTGGTCCAAGGAGGTCACGGAGAGTACCTCATGCTGCCACTGGTCGGGCAGCAGTGCCGTGCCCAGGAAGGCATAGTCCGAGATATAGGCAGCCACGCAGCAGTGCATCTTCATGTCGCCCTCCCCTGCAACAGGTCCCAGCTCCATCAGCCCTGGGCTCCTGGGCTTTACAGCTCAGGGCTTGCAGGGGGTTGGGAGAAAGGGGCTGCCATGCACAGATGTGCAGACCTCACAGCAAGAGGGCACCTGGCCCAAGGTGGATGTGTGGCAGGACATAAGGGGGGAGATAAGCAAGGACAGGTGCAGTCTTCACTCACCAGTCTCCCACCCGGGCCCCAGAAGGGGTACCTTTTTCTAGTTTGCACAAAGGCACCTTATGGTTAGCAGTAGACCTGGAGAACCTCAGCGAGGCACCCTGCCTTCCCCAGAAAGGGCCTACGTTGGGAATGTAGTCACATCCCCATTCTCCGGGACAGTGCAAAGGGCCAAGAGCCCTGGTGAGAAACTGGGCCAACTTCCCTATCACGCAGATAAGGACACCATCCCAGACAGGGAAAGTACCAGGACCAAAGTCACAAAAGGTAATGAGTTGCAGGCCTAGACCCCTGGAGAGTTTTTTCCTCCAGTCCACAGGGTCCTCTTACCAATATAGCCCTGGGCTCGCACCCAGAACATCTGTTTGGGCTCCTGGCGCTGCAGCTGGCTCAAGGTGGGTGGGTTTATGACCTTGATCTCAATGGGCACCTCCTGGGCAGCAGTTCGGTTCAGCCCCACTTGGTACTTCTTGTAGAGGTTAGGATCCCTGAAAGTAAAAAGGAGAGTGGGGGAGCCGAAGGAGAGGGGAGCCTCTCATCTCAGCTGCCTCTTCTGACCATCTTCTTCCTCCACAGGACTCCTGCCTTGTCCCCTCTGCTTGTGGCAGGCACAATAGTAGTTTTTGAATTCCTTCTTTGCCACTTATAAGCCATGTGGTCTTGTGCAAGTTAGTGATCTCTCTGAGCCTATTTTCTCACCTGCAAAATGTGGATAATCATAGTAACCCGGCTCATGACCAACCACACGGTGAAGACGACACATCACAGCAGTGAGATGCACCCTTGAGAGGCACGATTCTATTCTAAACTTTTCACATTCACTCATTCCTCCCAATAACCCTGTGAGATAGGCACCGTCATCGCCCCCGTTTGATAAATGAAATAAGCAAAGAGAGGCCACACAGCTTGCTCAGAAAGTGGAAGGGGCAGCATTTGGACCCAGGCAGTCTGGCCCCATAGTTCATACTCAACCATGGGAGTGTTCTACACATTCAGGAAACAGGCCGCCCAACTTGGCCTGAGTTACTTAACACTAAGCAGCTGGGAAGACTGTCTCTTCCAGAGAAGGGGCCCATTTCCCAGGAAGGCTTCACCACAGTTACAACCACCCCCAGTGCTCCTCAGGGTGTGGCCATTTTCATCTCTATCCTCATGAATGCTATCCGATAGAACTTTCTGTGGTGATGGAATGGTCTATATCTGCACTGTCCCCTACGGTAGCCACTAGCACATGGTGGCTATTGAGCTTTTGAAATGTGGCTAGTACAGCTGACAAACTGAATTTTTACTTCTTTTACTGTTAATTAATATAGCCACATGTGGCTAGTGGCTACCTAACTGGACAGCACAGCTCCAGACTCAGAACCCCTTAAGAACAACGTCTTCATTTCATTTCAGCAAACATTTGTTGAGCGCTGACTGCATATCAGGCCCCCTGCTTAATCCTCTCTGTCAGTAGTGGTATAACTACAATTTACTGAGGGGGTACTAAGTGCCTTATTTCCCTTACCTCATTTAATCCTCACAGCAGCCTTGTGAGGTGGGAATTATTATCAGCACCATTTTGTAACTGAGGGCATGGGCTCAGAGAGGGAAAGCAACTTGCCCAAGCTCACACAGTAAGTAGGGACACAGTCTAGATTTGAAGACAGGCCTTTTGGGCTCCCAAACCCACATCCATGCCATCTAACCTGCTGCCTCCCCAGTACCCAGCACAAGTCAGAGGAGCTGTCCTTGTGATTCAGCTGTGAAGCAGGCAGCGCAGAAGTGACCACTCCCATTTCTTAGAAACTAGGGCCAGAGAGGCTGGGGAGCTGGGCAAGTCCACAGCAGGTGAGCACTAACTCAGCCCCAGCCAGAAAACACCGTCTGTCCTGAGTGTGGACCCGGCACTCTTTCTCCTGCACCAGCATTTTTCAAATGTTACAGGCTGTGATTCAAGTGAGAAATACATTTTACCGGGTGATACTGGAAATATTTAATACCCAGTAAGGCAAAGGCAAGGGGCCCTGGTAGTGCAGTGGTTAAAGAGCTTGGCTGCTAACCAAAAGGTCAGCAGTTTGAATCCACCAGCCACTGCGGGGCAGAAAGATGCGGCAATCTACTTCCGTAAAGATACAGCCTTGGAAACCCTATGGGGCAGTTCTACTCTGTCCTATAAGGTCACTGTGATGGTTAGGATTGTGTGTCAACCTGGCTGGGCCATGATTCTCAGTGTTTATATATGATCTTTCCCATGATGGAATCTGCTGTGAGTAGCCAATCAGCTGAAAGGGAGTTTCCTTGGGGGTGTGGCCTGCACCTGAATATAAGCAGACATTCTGGCTTTTTGCTCACTCTAGATCCTGCAGCTGCCTCCCGTTTGTCTGGTCTCTGGTTCTTGAGACTTGAGCTATCAGCTTATCTGCTGATCTTGGGATTCGTTGATCTTCATAGCCTGTGAGTGGAAGCCCTGCTCTCCAACCTGCCAAATCTTGGGTTTGACAGCCCCTGCGGCTAAGTGAATCAGGAGAAGCCTTGCAGTCTTGCCTGCCAATCTTGAGATTCATCAGTCTTCACAGCCTGTGAACAGAAGTACTGCTCTCCAACCTACTGATATGGGTTCACCAGCCCCTGTGGCTACATGAATCTGGAGAAACCTCTATCCTGATCCACAGACTTGGGACGTTCCAGCCTCTACAATCTCATGAGCCGTTTCCTTGATATAAATCTCTCTATATATACTTATACTCTTTACTGGTTTTGCTTCTCTAGAGAACCCAGCCTAAGATAGTCACTATCAGTCAGAATTGACTCGAGGGCCAATGGGTTTGTTTTTTGGTCACTATTGCCTAAAGCAATGAGCGCTGGTGGTATAATAGTTAATCACTTGGCTGAGAACCATAAGCCTGGCGGTTCAAACCCACCAACAGCTCAGCAGGAGAAAGATGTGGCAATCTGCCTCCATAAAGATTACAACCTCCGAAACCCTCTGGAGCAGTTCTACTCTGTCCTGTAGGGTCACTATGAGTCAGAACCTACTTGAGGCAATGGATTTTGGTTTGGAAGGCAAAAGCAGTGACCAATCAGAGCAAATCTGGGCCATAGCTCTGCAGCAGGGTTCTAGAGGACTCCCACCCCTGCCAGGCATTAACTTCTAAGCTGCTGGATCATGGGTGACTGGGAGAAAGGAGAGGGGATCGTTCATTGGCCTGAGGAAGTGACTATTTACCAAATGGTTACAGAAGTATTTCAATATTTTAACAACCAGTAAAGCTGTAACAGTGCCTACATGGACTGACTATAAACCCTGCATTTTACATCATGACCCAATACACACACACTCCCGAAACACACACAACTCAAACTAAAGTTTCACAAAAGGATTCTTACCCTTCCTACATACAATATACTCCAATATCTTCTTTTCTAGTCCATATTTCTAAAATACGGGTCAAGACCCATGAAATGATCTCATGACCCACTAATGGGTGAGAACCACCATTTGAAAGCACCGCCCAGGAGTCTCCAGGCCTCTCACCTTAAGTACTGGTCAATGGGGGTCCTGTGGTCAAACAGCTCCTCCGGCGGGGGCACAGCTGGCATGGAGAACTGGTGCTGCAGGGGGCTGGGCTGGATCTGCTGGAAGGAGGCCTGTAAGATGAAGATGGGCCTGCCGTGTTGCACGGCCTTCACGGAGCGGACCGAGAAGCTCGCCCCTGTTCGTGTCCGCTCCACCTGGTACAGCACTGGCACCTTTGGGTCCCCTGCAGTGGGCACAAGGGGCACAGTGAGCCCCACAGGCTCTGCAGTCGGCACAAAGGCCAGGTGGGCACCTCTGCCACTGGTCCTCCATTCCTTTCTTGTTTGGTAGCTACTGACTGAGACCAGGTACTGGGGATAGAAAGAGAGCACCAGGCCCTATCATCAAGATGCTCCCAGGGCAGGTGGATCACTTCCTGTCAACAACACAGAATACCTGGACACGGCCAGATTTCCTGCATTCAAACCCTGGCTCTGCCACTCACCAGCTGTGTGACCTTGGAAAAGTCACTTAACCTCTCTGAGCAGTTCACTCATCAGTAAAATGGGGACCCTCATAGTGCTCAGACCTCACAGGATTTTTATGAGAATTAAATGAGCTCATAGCTATAAAGTGTTTAGAATAATATCTGGCACATAGTAAGTGCTCTGTAAGTGTTTGTTAAATAAAATAAATACTCTCAGTCCTTGTCTTGTTCTGTCTGTGACTGAGATCATGTCATGAGTCCAGAAACATTTCTTTAGATCAGGGGTCAGCAAACTATGGCCCGGGGGCCAAATCTAGTCTGCCACCTGTTTTGGTAAAGTTTCTTTGGAACACAGCTGCAATCATTCGTTTGCATATTGTCTATGGCTGTTTTCGTGAGCTACACAGCAGAGTTGAGGCATCACAACAGACCCACAAAGCCTAAAATATTTACTACCTGGTCCTTTACAGGAAAAGTTTGCCGACTCCTGCTCTAGATTTTCCAAGCTCTAAACCTGTAGCATGCTACATTCCTGTACTACATTCTTTTACCTCCCTAAAAAAAATACTTTTTCTGCCCTGGGCTTTTAGAGTTGATCATATAAATGGGAAAGGATTACCCTCCCCCAGCATCTTTTATAAAAATATATGTATGTATCATTTGAAACATCTTCATTGGTTATATTTGAGGTATGTGCTGGAGGGTCGCATCACAAACTGATGAGAGCCTCCCGTTTTGCCTTGCTGTCAGGGAGTCGAGAACTAAATTCTGTGAGAAACTGAAACAATGTGCCTTAGCCAGTTTTCCGGTAAAGTCAATTTCCCCAAGCTCCCTGTTACTACACGTATGCTGTCCTTTGACCTTTATTTTCATAGTCCTTTGACAGCTTCAGTTATCTTAAGCTGTCTTGCAGCCTTTCCAGAAAGAGTTAAGGGACAAATAATTGGTGATTAATTAACAAATAACTGGTGATTAATTTTGAAATGGTAGCAAGGAAGAAGATCCTTCCCCCAGAACCTGAGACAGGCACTGTGATGGTTAATGTTATGTATCAACCTGGCTAGCCATGATTGTAATTATCCTCCATTTTCTGGTCTGATGTAATTATCCTCCACTTTATGGACTGTAAATCCTAACCTCTATATGTTAATGGGTCAGGATTAGTGTAGGGTGTATCATGAGTCACACCCTTACAAGAGGGTATGACCCAAGTCACACCCTTACCAAGTCATACCCTTACTCAAGTATCTGATGTGAGGGGAGTTTCCTCAGGGGTGTGACCTGCATCCAATATACATGGATGCCTGGCAAAGCTCTCTCTTGCTCTAGATCCTGCATGCAGCTCATCATCATCTGACCTCCAGTTCTTGGGACTTAAGCCAGCAGCCTGCCATCTGACCTGCTGACTTTGGGATTCGCCAGCTTCCGCAGCCACATGGGCCAGCAGCCTGCCATCTGACCTGCCAATTTTGGGTTCATCAGCCCCTGCAACCACGTGAGTCAGGAGAAGCCTCCAGCCCAACGCCTGACCCATGGATTTGGGACTTGCTAGCCTCCACAACCACGTGAGCCATTTCCTTGAGATAAATCTCTCTCTCTCTAGATATATACGCTTCACTGGTTTTGCTTCTCTAGAGAACCCAGCCTAAGACAGGCACCCTGACAGCTCTCTGCTGGTTTGAAATTATCTTCACGAGTGAAAAGGGAAAGGAGCAGAAGGAGAAAAGAGTGTGGAGCTGGAGGCACACAAACCCAGGTTCAAATTGTGGGTGGTTCTGCCTCCCTGAGCAGCTGTAGGAGCTGGTTATAAACGTCTTCAGGTTCCCGTTTCCTTGTACATAGGATGATGACAGGAATTCCCACCCTCATGTTTACCTACCAGGACTGAGCAAGATAATGTCCGTGACTGTGCTCTGTGCCACACAAATACTAATTATTCCCATAAGTTCATCATCAAAAAAAATTAGTGTTATCATTTATGGCAAACCTGCAACATGCCAGGAACTGCACTAGAGGCTTTCACTGCAAAGACGTATAATTCCTTCATCACAGGATGAAGAAGCAGATTCAGAGGGATCAAGTAATGCCCCCACCTCCACAAGACAAAACAAAACAGCCAGTTTTCTCACTAAACTAGGAGGATTACAACATCAAAAGGCCAGCGTCCGGGGAGCTTACAGCCAAACTGAAGAAATAAAGTGCATATTTGCTCCCAACTAGCATAAAAGTAAGAACTGGGCTGGTGAGTAGCAATGATGATGATAAGAGTCAGGGAGCACAGGCAATAAAGGGATGGGGAGTGGAGGGCATGGTAATAAAGTATGAAAAAGTAGATTTATTATTATAACTATTTTTTATTTGTAAAATGAAAGAAAAACGTCACTATTGTTTTCTGAATACAAATCACAGAATGTAAAGTTAAACAAAATCTTCCCAGCTGGTTTGACTCTGAAGAAGACAATGACTCTAAAATTGAGGGCATCCGCCTTAGGGCTCAGGGAGAGGAAGGGAAACCAAGTGAGATTTTTGTTTTCTCAAAAGAGAGTATGGGTTTTAAAAGACTGCCCCTTGCTCCTCCTTGACCTGATCCCTGAGCCATAAGCAACTATAGAGATCATCCAACTAAAAGCCCCCTAGTCCAACCCTTCCTCTCCTCCACCCTACCTCCACTCTACAGAGGGGACAAACCAAGCCTCAGGGAGGGGAGGTAATCTGCTCAGTGTCACAAGTTATCGGCAAGGCTGAAGCTAGAAGTAAGACTTCCTGATTCCCAGGCTGGTGCTCTTTTCTCCATGCCAGGCAGCTGTACCCCCACCCCCTAGCAGAGGTTACTGAAGATCTGAGGATCTAGCACACTACTCGCACCAACAGGGAGCAACTAAGCAACAGGTCTTGCTTAGTTAGGGGCCAGAGAACAAGTTAACAGTGAGTTTCAGCAACTGTAAAGTCCAAGGCTCTTTGGTGGCCCCAGGCCTTGTTCCTCTCTTGGCTGCCCTGAGACTGGAATTCTCTCTCTGTCTCCATTCTTCTCTTCCCCCTCTTCCCCTTTCTCCTCAGTCAGCCCTCCAAGGCCAGGAGGAAATGGCTGCTGGGTCCCCAGTACTGGGTAGGGGCAAGGAGGAGGTGGTTTACCTGCCCGGACAAAGTAGCAGTGCAGGGAGTGTACGTGGAAGTCTTCAGTCACAGACTTGGCTGCAGCTACCAGGGCCTGACCCACGATCTGGCCCCCAAACAGACGCTGGGTGATGGGTACCCAGTAATGCCTTCCTCTGTGGGAAGAGGGGGAAAGTGGAAGAGACTTGGGTAGGGGGCCGAGTCCTACGGATCTCAACGAGTCTCTAGCACAGGACCTCTTAGCCTTACTGGGGTTTGGGATCCCTCTGAGAAACTGGTGAAAGCCATGGACCCTCTCCCAGGCAAATATCCTTACACATTACTCTGCATACAACTTCATGGCCTTCATGACCACCCAAAGCCCTTCTGTGGATTCAGTTAAGGATAACAATCCAACTCACTTATTTCACACTAAGAGAATGGTGATCAGAGGTCAAGTGACTTGAGCAAAGGCACAAAGCTTAAACATTGCAAATCCTGGACAGTTCTGGAGTCTTCTGATCCCAAGTCCAGTGTTTCTTCTATTTCCCATGCCAGGGTAAGGCCGAAGCCTCTCAAGGCCTTGGGCGGACTAAGGTGAACCCCAAGGGCTGAGCTGGAGGTGGACTGCCTTAAGGCCTGCCCCCTATATTCCTCAAACACAACAGCCCAGTTCTTCCTAGAACCGGATTCAGAGCTGGAAGTGTACAGATGAGGAAACTGCCCCCCACCCCCAAGAGAAAAAACTTACCTGGCATGTGAGCCCCAGCCCCAATTTAGCATTTTCCTTAGCAATGTATTGCAAATAACCCTCCAGGAAGTTATATGCAAGTCGTTAAGTGAAGGGGAAGGGAAGTTAAAGCCAAAGATACCTTCCAATAAAGCCAGTAGGAGTTTTGGAGGCCAAAGCAGTCAAGAGCTTAAGTGACGCTCAACAGGCTCAGACTCTGGATGAGCAATGAGCTACCAGACCCCACCAAGTAGTGGTGAAGGAGTATGTAAGAGGAAAAGGATGGTAAAGATGCAAGAAGCTGCGAATCAAGGGACTTAAATTTTAAACCAGATCTGCTGTGTGCCCTTGGGCAAATCACTGCTCTCTCTGGGCTGACTCTCCCAGGGACCCCAAGGGCAGACTGCCGTATCTCAGGTCACCACTTTATTTGCCCAGATCGCAAGGATCTCCTAGGGATGGAGCTGCGCAGTCCCGGCACGGAATGGGAGGGAGGAAGCCGGGGCAGTGTGGTCAGGGCTGTGAGGGACAAGCCCTCTCTCGGTCGCAGCAGAGCCTGCAGCCCGCGCAGAGCCCACCCTCGTTCCGAAGCTGGGGGACAATGAGTGGCAGCGGTCGAGATCTGTCCAAATGGGGGTCGCGGGCCAGGTGCTGCAGGCTACCTGAAGAGATCCTCGTCCAACGGCTCAAGGTTGAGCACGCTGGTGACCAGGACGCTGCGGAGGTCCCCGGGGGGATCGTCGCCTTCCTGCCTGTCCTCCAGAGCCTGCGGGGACGACATCTTAATCAATGCCTGCAAGCCCTGGTCACTGCGCTGGGCGGGACAGCGGAGACCTACTCAGAGCCCGCAGCTTCCGGCAAATTGCTCTAGTAACCGGAAGTCCCCTGCGGGGCCGTGAGAAGGAGGAATTCTGGCTATGATTGGTTGGCGTTCCTGTCTGTCTTCTGGTGGGCGAGGCTGGATTTCTCTAACGATTGGAGGAAATGAGCGCCAGTCTGGGAGCCCCGTGTGTGATTGGATGTGATAGTGAGGGGGCGGAGCCTCGGGACTGAATAATAAGGGCTGAGTGTCAATTTCCCTGTCAGACAGCAAAGACGCCCCTCGCCTTTAAAACCCCTCAGGCCTAGGGCTCCTCCTGAGTTCCATAATAGGCACTCAAGTGAGGCCGACCTCTAAGGGTCCTGGGCCTAAGCCAGCCTGTAGACCTTCATAGTGACCTCTGACCCCCAGTGTGATCTTGGGCTCACGCCTGGACCAGCCCCTGGTGTGGACTGAGGGGGCAGCCATGGAGCTGGGCAGCTGCTTCAAGACCTACGAGGACTTCAAGGAATGCTTTAGCGCCTACAAAAAGGAGAACAGGTGCTCCTTCATTCTCAAAGACTGCGTCTCCGTCCGCTTCCACAACCTCAACCATGGCACCTCCATCCGTGAGGACATCCTGTAAGGGCGGGGCGGGGCGGGGGCAGGGCAGGAGGATGGGGAGGAGGGTGGCCGCCCCTCTGGAGGGCGGCCTGGAGGAGGAGGAGGGAATGCTGTTGGGCCTTTGTCTCAGACTTCCGCAGCCGTTCCTTCAGCAGGCACTTATTGAGCACCTGCTGTGTGCCTTGTGGAAATAGAGCAAAACCTCCACAGGCATTGCTTTTTGACCACCCACTTCACCGTCACTCACTCATTCCTTTATTCAACAAGCTTTTCTGAAATTCATAAAAACTGCAATCTGTCCCATTTTTGGAGCACCTACAGTATTCCAGACACAAAATATGGCCTTCACAGATGGATAAAAACCCTTTAGCGTTCTGTTCTTTACAAAGCAGTAACAGGTCAATTGGTGATTGTTTCATTCATTCATTCTATAAATGGTTCTTGAGCTCCTAATATTAACAACTGTTTCTCAAACACTTTGCGTGTCCCAAGCAGCGTTCTCTACTTTGGGCATGCTTTACTCCTCAGGGCTATATCAAGGATTTGATGTTATTTTTCCTCATTTGACAGATAAGAAAACAGGCTTAAAGAATTTAAGACAGGAGTTGAAAACTCAAATACCTTCAGGGCTCGGGTGAAAGAGCTCTGTGTAAGAAAATGTAACATAACTTTTTATTTTACCATGAGAATAAGAATGATGAACTAACGCCACTAGGCCTCCATGCTCAGGACAACAGAGAGGAGTGTGAACTGGGGCAAATCAGAGAGCAGGTCCCATCTAATCGACTCCAGCTGATTACTGCCGTGTGAAAAATGAAGCTCCATTGTTGCCAGAATTTTGGGCAAGAGGAGTGAGAAACCCAGACTTTTATGTGGATTTGCCCACTTTTTAAAAAATGGAAATCAATTCAAATTTTAACACACACCATGTGGGCCAACTCTGAGAATCAAAAAAGTGTATCTGAGGGCCACCAGTTTGAGACCTCTGGGTTGAGATGTTGGCCAGAGCTCCCCAGCTAGGGAGCCAGGCTGTGTTCTTTCCGCTACTCAGAAGTCTAGTGTATTGGGTACAGATGACATAAAGATGATTAAAAAATCCAACCTACCCTCGAGGAGCTTAAGGTGGAATAGACTTGGACTCAGATAAGCTAACCATAAGTGATAATTCTTTAAAGGAGGCGTGTGCAGAAGAGGAAGTGACATGCCTGGGACGTATGGAAAAGCTCCACTCTGGAAGTAATGGTTTCTCTGGGCAGTGAATACATGCAGAGGGCTAGAGTAGGAGTCTCAAGGTCCCTAGGTGGTGCAAAAGGTTTGCTCTCGACTACTAAACTAAAGGTTGGTAGTTCGAACCCAACTCATATGTTAGTCATTTTGTGTGCTATCATCTCGCTCTTGCCATGTCCTGTACTACAATTTACTTAACATTTTTCTTTAAATTCACTCAGTTTTAATATTCAAAGAAACCTATTTTAGACCTAAGCTAGGCAATAATATACATGAAATAACAGTATAAACCCATTGCCGGAGAGTCGATTTTGACTCATAGCGACTCTATAGGACAGGGTAGAACTGCCCTGTAGGGTTTCCAAGGAGCAACTGGTGGATTCGAACTGCTGACCTTTTGGTTAGCAGCCTGAGCTTTTAACCACTGTGCCACCAGGGCTTAAAAAAAAAAAAATGTGTTCTGGAATCGGACTGGCTGATTCCATGTAAAGTGCAGAGCATTAATGTGAAATGAATGCTATGTATTTATAAATAATTATGAAAATATCTGTTCTTGTGCAATCTGAGATCATTTTGGACCCCTTACGGGAAACTCTGTCCTAGCTAGTTGTTCATTCTTCAGGTCTCAGCACTTTTCCAGGAAGCCTTTCTTAACTTCCCCAAGGTTAGGTTTGATGTTCCTCCTATGCTCCAACAGCACCTGTTACACCGCTTCGCATATTGCTTTGCAATACAGTTTGCAGAGGTTTCCCCATTGGCTGAGCTCTTCCAGGGAGGGACCCTGGTTCACCATTGTATCCCCAGGGTGTAGCACTGGGTTGGGCCCATAGCAAGTCATTGTTTATTGAATAAATAAATCACCAAGTGCTAAATGTGTGCTTCAGGAAAATAGGTGCTGCAGGAACTCAGAAGAGAGAATCATCACTGTGGGCTGGAGAAGTAAGAGGAAGGGAGGCATAAGCTGGACCTCTAATGATGGGAGGGGGTGCTTTGGGAGGTATATCAGTTTTATTTTTGCTGCTATAACAAATTACACAAACTAATGGCTTAAAACAACACAAATTTATTATCTTTAGATTCTGTAGGTTGGAAGTCAGACATAGGTTTCACTGGGCTAAAATCAAGGTGTCAGCGAGAATTGATTCCATTGCCTTTTCCAGCTTCTAGAGACTGCCAGCCCTCCTTGGCTCGTGGTCCCCTTCCTCCATCTTCAAAGCCAGCAATGGCAGGTGGAGCCCTCCTCACATTGCATCACTCTGACCTTGCTTCTGTCCTCACATCTCCTTCTCTGACTCCCCTTTTCTGTCTCCCTTTCCCACTTTAAGGACCCTTGTGAGGAAACCTATTTAGCTAGTAGGAGGATTTATGCCGGAGAGCAGTGGGAAAGAAAACTGGATGGGCCCAGATAAATAGACTGGAAGGTTAAGATTAGTTTCATTTATTTTTGTCTTTGAAGGTTGAACAATTTTAACAATGAATTTGTTTTGGTTATGGTTAATATAACCACTTAATTAAAAAAAAACTCAAACAAAAGAATCCAAAAGTCAGTGTCCCTTCAGCATTATCTAGAGGCAACCACTGTTACCTTCCTGAGATGCCTGTGCCTGAACAAGCATATCTTATGTGTTTATTTATTTATTTATGTTTACCGCAAGTGGGAGCATACTGTCGATACACATCATTCTGCACCTTGCTTTTCTCACTTATTCGTGTATCTTGGAGATTATTCCACACCACTTCTTCCACTTGTATGCGCGAATCATCCTTACTGAAAGTTCCCTGGCTTATTCATTGATTTCAGCATTGGTTTACTGAAAACTTAGTCCATGCTAGAGTCTGGAGAGACGGTGTTGAAAAAGATAAAGTCCTCCTGGAGCTTACCTTCTAGTCAGGGAGACAGATATTAATCTATAATCACAGAAGTAATTATTTACTTAAAATTGTGGTAAGGGCTGCAAAGGAAAAGTCCAGGGTGCTGGGTGCTGGGTGGTGGAATGACAGGGAAACAACCTAGTCGGGTGGCCAGGGGGGAGTGGTGGTGGTGGAGGAAGAAGGTGTTGGTTGACACTTGATACCAGTTCAGACTGTTAATTAGAAACGTGACATTGTCTTCCCTGATACTTTGCAGAGATCATTTGCAAAGCACACTCACCTTCATTATCTGACTTGTTAAACTCTGAGTAACCCTGCCAAAGGCCTTTTGTTAACTCCATTAAGTGAGTTAATACATGTAGAGTGCTTACAGGAGTGCCTAGTTCATAGAAAATATTCCATTAATATAAGCTGCTATTATTATTATTATTTTGCAGGTGAGGAAACACAGCCAGGGGAAGTCAAATGTTAAGAAGAGACTAAGTCTACCTCTCTGCTTTAGGTTAAAGGGCCCTGGTGGTACAATGGTTAAGCGCTCGACTGCTAACAGAAAGGTGGGAGGTCCCAACACACCAGCGGCTCCTTGGGAGGAAAGACCTGGCCATCTGCTCCTGTAAAGTTTACAGCCTAGGAAACCCTATGGGGCAGTTCTACTCTGTCACATGGGCTTGCTGTGAGTTGGAATTGACTCAGCAGTACACAACAACAGCTGCTTAAGGTTAAGGCACTGAGTTCATTTACGTAACTCTTGGAAGGCTCTTTTGCACGGAGTTCCAAATGTACGAGCAAAGGCAGATGACAGGAGAGGTACAGTCAAGGGGCGGACAGGAGCAGGTACTCAGGTAGTCAAGGCATGGAAGAGGAAAATCATGAGAATCTGTGGCAAAAAGCACCCTCACCCCCAAAAGCACCTGGGCATGAGCCAGGGAAGTCTGAATCTGGTACAGTCACAGCCAAGAAAAATGGGAACGGGCAGAAAGGAGGGGCAAGTCGGAGCAAGGAGCAGGGTAGGATTTCAAGAAGCTGTGAGAAAGCACTTAGGTATTAGGACAGAGTAGAACTGCCCCATAGGGTTTCCAAGGCTGTAAATCTTTACGGAAGCAGACTGCTGCAGACCGCCACATCTTTCTCCCGTGGAGTCACTGGTGGGTCCAAACCGCCAACCTTTTGGTTAGCAACTGAGTGCTTAACCACTGCACCACCAGGCCTCCTCCCTTAGCCTCACACAGTTAACAGATGAGAAGGGAAATCAACAAGGATGATAATAGGATTGGAACTTGAAAAGCAAAGGATTTGCATAGCAAAGAATTAAGATAGATCCTTGGGAAACTTAATAAAGCCCTGGAATATTTTGGTAAAACTGACCTTTGCGTATTGCAAAAGTGAGACAGGAAATGAAGTATCATAGTGTTTGGAAAAATTATACCAGGAAAAAAAAGTTGACACTTCAAGTTGTTCTTTTGTTTTTGTTTTTTCTTTGCCTATTCACCTATGCTTTGTTGTTCTTTGATTAGTCTAAGAATAAGCATATAGTTGTCATTATAATCTACATTTTATTAAACATAATATTAACTTCATAATTTTTGTCTTATTTTTTAAGGTGAAGTTCCACTCAAATCTTTTTTTTCCCCACTATTTACTGTGAAATGTTGCTTCCAGGGATATTGTTGACTACAACGAACTGAAAACCTTACTCAAATTGGCTTATTAGTTCCCACTTAGAAGCCCAGAGGTGAGCCTCCACAGGTGACTGTCTCAGAGGCCCAGGCTATTTCCGTCTTCCCACTCTGCCATCCTCAGGTCTCAGCTGTGCCCTCAGGTGGCTCCCAGCGTGGCACATCCAGAAGAAAAAGCCTTCCTTGGTGTCCCGAAGAATTTCTACCATGTTTCTTGGCCAGAATGGAGGCAGTATCCCTGCC